TGTACAAATGGTTTTTTGTACATACTAAGAAGCAAGAGAAGTTAAAGTGTAGGGAAAGCGATTAAGAAGTTTTTGGTGATGAGCTATAGTTTCTGTATTTTGAAGATCATTCAGTTTAGAGTTAGGAGACTTTTGGGCTTAAAAACTTCATTATTTTTGCGGGGATTTGTTGCGATTTGTTACTGAAACGTCTTGACACTGAATGGTGATTAATGATGAATAATTGAATGAACGAGAAGAAAAATGACATTTTTTTCCTGAAGACGGTTTAGTTTTATTTTTATTTTATATTTTTTGTTAAAGTTTTGGTTTACGAAGAGTTATGGTGATGCTGATAATATTGCTGGTGTTGATGTTGATGATAAGAGGAACGGAAGAGTATGGTTAACTGGTGTATGGAAAGCAGCTGGTACGGACGGCATACATTGCAATATTATTTTTCTGTTACTTTTTCTTCTGTTCATTACGAATTTCCGCTGAAGCCTAGTTTGCAGATTATTAAAGTTCTTGTTTTAAACGTGTGAAGGAGTTGTATGTGGCAAGCACTTAGATGATTCACAGTTTGAACGCTTTTCTTTTTGATCTCAGCCAGTGTAGTATTTTTTTTTGCAGTCAGAAATTGTTGATGGGTAGCAGTAGTAGGGAGAAAGAAAATTTCTTGTTTTTTTTTTTAATTTTTACTTTGCAAAAAGATTTTTCTGTTTGCGGATGAACCCAAAGAGTTTTATGGTTGATGAATCAGATTTCACTATTGCTGTTTTTTTTTCTTCTTTTGATCTTCGTATGTGACGAACAGGTGTTAAGTTTTTGCAAAATTTAGAGGAATGTACGCATTTATCTGGATTAGGCAACCGACTGTCGTGTTTTGCTACTGTTGGTGCCAAAAGCTTCCATTTTTGTTTTTGCTTATTTTTCGTTTTATTTCATCTGCTTTTTCATTTATTTGTTTGTTTATTTTATTCATTTACTTTTTTTTCTTTTTTCTTTTTTCTTTTGCAGATTTTAGCATTTCT